AGCTCCATCGGATAATAAGAGGGGGAAGGAGTCTTCACGAACTTTTTATACCACATGAACTTTTGAAGTATGAATGGCAACTGATTTATTTAAGATGAGTGAAGATCCCTCAATAAGACATGTAGACATCAAGGGAAAAACATGAAAAAAAATGAAAAGTTGACCTGGCAAGACAGGATTTTCTAGGCACTTTTGTAACTTTGTCTTAGGATAGGACCTTCTACACTGAAGTTAGCTTTTCTTTTGAAAAAACTGCTCACATGTACATTTTCTGTTTACAATGAACCCGTTTTACGTCTTTTATCCACTTGATACGGATAATAAAGATGTGAAACTTTGATTCAAGTCTTCTTAAATGCGGGTAATATAGTTTCGACTGGTCGCGTATTTGATGCAATTGCCAACCGCATTTAGAAAGAAGTGAGGTCAGCTAACAATAAGAAGCGACATGCTAGTATGGAGATAATTATGTGAACATTCTTCCCGTGGGTGGTGGAGTGCAGATTGATACCAAATAGCGTCAGTTGTCGGTTATTTGTCGCATAAAACGCACGACAGAAATAGAAGTGCAACTGTGACAGAACTTCTAAGCAAGTCGTCAACGGGCGCGAATAGGGGAGCGTGATTTGTCTGGGACACATAAGAGCACAACTTGTTGGTCAGCAGGTCGTAGTATCATGACTGCACAGTCAGTCCAGTGTGCGTTTGTGTGGAGAGGTGTCTTGCAAACGAGGATGAGCGGTTTATTCCTATCACAGCACTAAGATGAATCCATCGGATGGAAGAAGGCAATCAGTCGTTGTGAGCAATTTATTGAACACACTAGGCAAATTGCCGTGAATTGACTGCTTGCTTGCGTGGGAACAGTGCGATCGTACGGGAGCGTGTGTGCAGCGGAGTGATGTGTGCGGGTTTGTCATTGTTCTAGTCAGCATGCGAGAGGATGTGATTGATTAGGTGAAAGAGGAAGTCAGGGGAACATAAACACAAGGGACCATGGGTGACAATGCAGGCTGGTCGATGCGTGTAAGATAGTGTTCTCTGCACGCGTAACCGTGACGAGGCTGTTGTCCACTCTGAGGGTTGCTGTGCTTTGGCGGAACGCCTGTTGGTCAGCGGGATTGTCTCAACAGAAAGTGGATACTGAAGCGGCTACTGTATCAAGCCTTGGAGGAGCGGGACCCCAGAAGAAGGAAGGATTGGAACAACCGTAGTGCTGTAAATGCGCTAAGTTATGGACCTCACTCTCTATTTCCAGGCCTCTCTATTCACAGGCTTCAGCCACTGTCTGAGTCGGTCAGTGTACTGGTGTGGTGTCTAAGATACCTAATGACCTCGCTTGCGCGTACCACGTACAAGATCTGAGCCCCAAACACAAGCATGATGATTTCACACAAAAGTGGGTGTGTGCCACGGATCCTGTATGCATGAAAGTGCCAGAGGTTATGTTAAGAAGGAGCCATTACATCCTGACTCACAGTCCACCAGTTGGCCATTCCGCAAACACACACCGGGCTGACCGCGAGAGCTGAATACAAATATCACTTGGCCATTCCAACCTCCGCTTGTCTTTAGCGGTTATGCTTTTTCTGCTTATGCTATACTAGCTGCTGAGAGGCTGCTGACAGGGTTTGATATTGAGCCCCCCAAGGCACAACAGGAAGAGCGTGTTCCGTAACACGATTTGTTAGCTGCCTACTATCACGCTTGAAGATACCTATGAGGGTCCGAACAGGGGGTAGGAGTTTTAGTCGAATTCAGTCAGTGGAGCAGGGAAAGGGGCGAGTGTGCCAGAAGACTACGCTTGTATTTCCAATACAGGAGAATATCCGAGTTAAAGGAAGCAGTTCGGAAGAAGAAGAAACGATCACTGGAACAAGAGGTTTATT